GCAGATGAAACAAGGACATTAATACAAATACTCTGTGGACTCAAATAGGACCGCAGCTATTGATTATTTTAGTAATCAAAACTTTTACTGATTTTTCCATTGATTATAATAATAATAATAATAATAATAATAATAATAATAATAATAATAATAATAATACTAATAATAAACTTTATTTATAAAAAGCTTTTCAAAATAATGTTACAAAGTGATTTACATGGTTGAACCTGTATTTCAAACAATGCAGGATTTAGGCAAATAAAATCAGGCAAATTTAAGAAATACAAAGACAAAGGAACTCCAACAATAAAAAATAAATTCCCCTGATAAGACAGAGCAATGTTGGCAACAAATTGCCCTGAAGATTGCACTGAAGCAAATAAAATCAACAATTACAATAATACAAAAATAAAAGAACAGAAAGCCCAATGGCAATATAGGAAAAAATTAACAGAGTAATGAGATAGAAAATGCTTTTGCTTGATTAAAGCTACAGTAAATATACAAAAGAGGAAATAAGACAGGTCTCCTGTGTTTGTGTGTAGCATGCTGTCTCATCGTGCCACTCAGAGTCTATTTTGCCATGAGGAGAGCGAACGCTAGCTACGGAAACGGATCCTCAGTAATTAGCTGTAACAAACATTGACTGTAAAAATGACGGACATAGCCACTGTGACATCACCCATTTGTTTGTAGACTCCTGTTTTGATACCTCGAGTTCGGCATCTTGGTCGTTGCCATCTTGTGTTTTGGAGCCAGTAGTGACCATATTTGGGCGAGAGGCTGGCGCTGTGGAGGAGCGAGGGGTGGATCTGACTGAGAAGTTGAGGACGCTATTGACAGACAGCCTGTCACTCAAAGAGCCCCCTGCCAACAGTTGTCATGAAAGGGGGAATTTAGGCTGTTCTCACAAAGTCATTGTATGTTTTCCTACAGAAAGCAGTGCACCCATATTCGTACATATCCCATATAATTTGAAAAACTGTGATCAAGTGACCAATGTGCTGACAACGTAAACATGGAAGCAGTCCCCATTGCTTGAAAGGAGCACCGTTGGGGTGGTGGATGGGTCACAAAAACTGGACTTTCACCCGGCACTTTCCCCTTGAGTCGTGTATTCGGATCTGTGTGAACTTTGAGTGATTTTAAGGTCCTCACGATGTTTCTTTTCCTAAACCTAACCTTGTTAACTTTTATTTCCTAAACCTAATTGTAACTTTATGTTAATTAAATAACTGTACATTAAAGACGTAACGTTATTCATGGGGTGCAAATTCCTCGGATATCATACGAACCGTTCTTTGGGGGTGGGGTGGGGAGGTTGGGGCTTAATTTCAACCAGCAATCATATTGATTTACATTAAATGCTAACATTACGTTGTGTGTACGTGGACTGGTTGCTTTCTACTGAGATGCAGAAGAATTAACGTCATGCGATTGTGGGAGGCTAGTTTGGTTTTATGATAGACGCACTTCACAGAGTTATCGTTTTGTTTCAGATGAAATGATCCCAAACTTTGGACACTTTTTGTTGTTTTCTCTTGCCTCTCTTTGCTATTTTCTCTCCTTTCCTCCATTTTGCAGTTCTGCTCCATCAAATCAAGTCACCTGTCTACATGATTAAACGAAGCTGTTTTGCAGCCAGTTTTAGCAATTGAATTACTCGAGGATTTTTTTCAGTTTCTCCCAAATGCTAGACATTTTAGGAGATATGCTTCTTCGCCTCTTTGCGGAGGTAGATAAGAAGATCAATACTTCCCTCATGTCTGTCTGTTAAACACAAAGCTGCATGCAGGAAACTGTCCAGCATAAAGACTGAAAAAAGTGTGAAACAGCTTGTTTTTACACTTTTTTAAGTTTTCAACAAACAAGATAGTATGTGTTAATTAAGTTTAGAAGGAGCTGCCAGACTGATCCACCCCCTGACCAAAGCCAGATGAGCTGTTTCCCTGTTTTTCCCTATGTCTTTATGTTGAACTAAACAATCCACCTCCTGTATGCAGCTTCATATTTTCTTGTATATATCTCAGACTGGTATAAATCTTCTCATCTAACTCTCGGCAAGAAACCAAATCAAGTATACTTCTCAAATGTTCCTTTAATCATCAGTGAAGAAAAGAGTGCAAGTTGGCTCAATGGCCAAAAAAGAAATGTGGTCCAAATAAATGACATAATCTTGGAAGGTCAGCAAGGCTCACTTGCTTATCTCCAAAATGTCTTGCTAAATTATCTTTAAATTCCACACAAGCTCCAGCCTCTATGGAGCTTTACTTTCCTCCCTGAGGCTCTGCCTTAGCAAACTGACACCACAAGCACAGCTTTGCCATTGCTGCCAATTATTTTCTATGGAAAGTAGCTAAAGCTGCTCAAAAGGTCATTAGATGTTGCTAGATTACCCATGTCGCGAGCTGATTCGCTAACACTAATTTCATTGAATAGAGAGGATCCAGACCCTGGAATAAACCCACTCTTGTAAACTAAAAAATAAAACTAACACTGATCTTCACACATTGTTGGATTGTTAGACACTTAAAGTAAATCCAAAGAAGAGTAAATGACCAACAGTTACAGACTACTGTCCCTTGTAGCCATCAGAACTGATGAAAGATGTTGGGTTTACTCTAATCTCTGTTGACAGATATGAGCATATGTATGCAGAATCAGTGAACAAAAGTACAGGATTTTGGTGTTGGGAGTGTTCTGGTTTCTGTTCGTAGTCAAAGTAGTATAGATCAGTCACGTCTGAATGAGCTTTGTTTGCCTCAAGGTTCACAGTCTGCGTGAACAACAAAAGAGGGGGAATGCACTGGCTGAGATGCAATCTTGCATCCCACTAGATATCACCTCACCATGATTTTTCTGCATTCATATGAAGATATCTTTTACAGAGATAAACCAAAATGTTATCTGGACCTGTCTCAAGATGCAAATTGAACTGTAAACAATGAGCAGCGCAAAGTAGTGGAAGTAAATTCATCTTCATTCATTCATCTTCTAACTGCTTCATCCTCTTGAGGGTCGCGGGGGGGCTGGAGCCTATCCCAGCTGACATTGGGAGAGAGGCAGGGTACACCCTGGACAGGTCGCCAGACTATTGCAGGGCTGACACATAGAGACAAACAACCATTCACGCTCACATTCACACCTACGGACAATTTAGAGTTATCAATTAACCTAGTCCCCAATCTGCATGTCTGGACTGTGGGAGGAAGCGAGTGCCCGGAGAGAACCCACGCTGACACGGGGAGAACATGCAAACTCCGCACAGAAGGGCTCCCACACCCGGGATTGAACAGCCAACCCTCTTGCTGTGAGGCAACAGTACTAACCACCACAACACCGTGCCGCCCGTGTAAGTAAATGGTAATGGTAAATTGACTTGCACTTGTGTAGCACTTTTTTAGTTGTTCAACCACTGAAAGCACTTTCACACTAATTGTCACATTTACCCATTTACACACACATTCATACAGTGGTGTCTGCTGCAACCATATGAGGTGCCACCTGCTACTCAGTTTCTTAAATGTTAATACAAGATCACACACCAATGGAGAAGGCAACGTTATTTGGGGCTCAGTATCTTGCTCATCATGCAAACTGGATCAAACCTTCAACCATCTGGTTAGTGGACAACCCTCTCTACCTCCAGAGCCACAGCCAACCTGAAGTCTTGGCTGATAAATCTGCTGACTACAAGGATTCTCCCATAATATTGGCCATAGGCCCCTGAGGCTTTATCATCGCCATAGGATAGCCCATTGGGATCTCAGATTGCAACCTGGTTTCTCTCCTAGGGTGACCAAAAACAGTGCTTGGTTAGTAGCCTTTGAGTCAGATATGGAGTGCACCCTTTAGCACCCCTTAGCTTCTGTATGGCTTTCAACCAATGTTCAGAATAATGGACGTAGTATGAAGAGTGCAAAAGTCTGCTCTTAAGTGGATGGACCCAGCAAGAACAGGACTTGTATCCAGGAGAGCAGTGATTGTGTCCCGTGTAAAACTAAAAGTCGATTTTATTTTGTCACAAGTTGACTGACACAACTGATCCCGATATTTTCTTAACCCTAACCAAGTAGTCTTGTTAGCTTAACCTTACTGCAGTCACATTGGAGAAACCATATTCAAATTGGAAGAACTTTATAGATGGTATGTGATGTATAACAATACCAAAACTTAAAGTATAATCATATAAATATTGACCTGACTTTGTCCAATAGTGGGTGTTCAAGAAATATGAGAAATACTGCCACCTTGCTGCCAAACCCTTGTTGTTAGAGAAGGTATTTAGTGAGGACTGTAAAGAACTCTTTGCAGCACTGAACTTCAACAAAAATTCTGGAGAGGCTCCTTACAAGATGTGAGAAAACTGTTGCACCTTCCCCCAGGCGTGGTCACTCAGTGACTTCCTGACAGCCTCCGGTGTTGCTGATACACACTAAGTAACTAGTTTTTTTTAAAAAAAAAAACTTGTTCCCTCCCCCTACAAGAAGCTCTGTCTCTGAAAAAGTTGTTCAACTACCAATCTGTGACTAAACACAAGGGGAAAAAAGAATCTGAAGCACTATAACAGTACAGCTGTAGTCTCATCTGCCTCTTCAGATCCCCCACTGCTGTCCAACCATGATTACATCTTCATTCCTCATTTATTCCTCCGTCCACGTCCCTCTCCACTCACCCATATAATAACTGAATTGAAAAGAACAGACAATATCTCTCATCTAGTAGAAACTTAGCTCTGTGTTTCACTGGGCTTCCTGAATCAGACATGAGTATGCTCCTTTGCTCTCTGGTTGCCATCCTTCACCGTAACCCCAGAGCCTATCCTCCAGCCTCCATCAAGTATCCCTCATTACGTGTAATTCCACATGCCACAAGCCGTGGCTTTAGGGTCCACTCTAATGTTGACCTGCACCTCTTCACACCAGGTATTTCCGATCCCTGAGAGGCCTGCTGTGCCCCTGTGACGCTGCGTCTAATCTATCTGGTAATTTGAGGCTTACTTTGGTGCAGAGGAGCTGAATCTTCAATCTCCTGCCACCTGTCATGTCTCATGTGAGGTGGGGTGAGAGAATATTGGGTCTCAATCCCTTCTCAGCACATCTGAAATGGAGTAAGGCAGAAGGGAGAGCAATTGGATAAGAGAAAGCTCAGGACCAGAATGCTGCGATAAGTTCTCTGATCCTCGTCTGTGGGGTTTTGTGCAACCAGCAGATGTGACTCAACTCTGATTTAAGATGGACATCGATTAGTTATGCTCCCTGTAACATAACTAAAAACCAATAATGATATATTCAAACAGAGCAAACGAAGACACAGGGAAAAAGAAATATATAATTAATAATATGAAATAAATGAATAAGGAAAACATGAAATACATTTAAAGTGTAAGAAAAGTAATGAAAATATATCAGTGCAGTTTTTAAAGGATCCCAAATAATTGCAATAATAATTAAAAAAATAATAACAGTATAACAAATACTTTATCACATAAATAATTGAAAGCTACATAAATTAAAAAAATAAAAATACACCAAATATAATGCTGCTGCTACTACTACTACTAAAAAATATCATAATAATTATGATAATGATTTAAAAATAAATAAGAATACATTAGTTGAAAAAATAATTTAATATAAATAAAACATATTGTATTTACTTAAACAACTGGAAATATAAAATCAATCACGATAAAAAATAAAACTAATATAAAACTTAAAAAATACCATCTCCTGCTTTTAAAAAATGGGGAAAAAAAACAACCCAAATGTAGAAAATTATATAAAAATTACATAAAATACACAAGATAAATGATTAAAATTAAATAAGTTATACAATTCTAAAAAAAGTTTAATACAGTGCTCCCATATTTCAAAATAAATATATAAATAGATAAATAACTATTAAGTACAATTTATAGAAAAATGTCAAAAGAAATACTAAAAATAAATATATAAAATAAAAATAAACATTTTAAAAATGGAATGATAAAATCAATACAGAATCACAACAGCACCTCAGCATTTCAACCTCTGTATTATCTTTTATGCCTAAAAAACCTTCTCTCATACCCTCCAGAGTCCCAGCTGCACATGTGAGTGACTATTTCCATCCCCAGTCCATCCCTGAGTTCCCACATCACGCTCACAGTGAGATCTGCAAACTTTCACTCCAGACTTAGAGTGTCTCAGATCTCCTCCACATCTCACCACTGCTGCTGGTGTGAGGCTCAGTATTTGAGTGAAATTAACATAATTTAGAGTGAATGTTCCCCAGCCTGCAACCTTACCCACAAACTTCTCCAATATTTAGCTTCCCTCTGCACTCCAGTTTCCCCCCTCTCAACCCGACACGCTCCGATCTGATACGTGCATACACGCACACAAAGCACAATGTTTCTTAGGCTTGTTTTCTTGTTGTTGTGCTCCGTAGAAGAAAGAGATGAAGAGGAGGCAGAGCAGATGTCAGGATTCATAGTGAGCTTATCTAAACATCATTGATTTTCACACTTTCTTACTGGGGCCAGCATGGGTTGGTTTCCTCCTCTGATGCCAAAGCATTTTACAGAGTAGCCAGGAAACTTGTCAGACTGGATGAAACTGATAAGAAGACACAAAAAAAGCTGTCCACCCACACCTTTCCCGCTCCCTTCGATGCATTTTTAAAAGACAAGACAAGGGTGCTTTTCACTTTGAAGCAGGACTCATCAGTGTGTTTGTACATGTGAAAAAGAAAAGGGAAAAAGAAGCGAACATGGAGCAGAGGAAAAAAATAATTGGCCACACTGCCCGTGTGTCCAGCTCTGAGCTGTGCGTCAACCACACTCCTGCCTCTGTTAGTGTTTGACCTATCTACCCATTTGAGAAGCTCCATCTAGGTCCATGTACACCTACTGAAGCATGAAAGCCCTCTGAGGCAGTGTGTTAGACAGACGAAATAGAGAGAGGTGCAAACAGGGCATACGAATAGGATAACAGGAGGAGACAAACAGAAGGAGATCTGGAAAAAATCATCTCAACAAACAGTTCAATCCTGCAGCGGAGTCTTCAAACTTTTCTTAGAACAAGAGCTAGAGACCGTCATGCAATGGGATCACACAAGCAGTTATACTGATGCACAACTTAAAACAAATGTGGGCCAGGGGCGTAAAGTGGGGATGCTAATGGCCCCTTTCCTACTTCCTACCCCCACCACCTTTCCCCTTGCTCAGACACACCCATATTCAAACCAGTTCTCATTCCCAGGTCTTTTAATGCTGCCACAGTGTGTGACTTTTGACAGCATGCCGCTATTCCAGAAGCAAACGATTAATATTATAACAAACAACTCTAAAATATGTAACGATACATTAAAACAAGGTTGATGTTTGGTTTCACATGGGACACAAACTGTGGTCTCCTGGGTGAAATTCAGTTTTGTTTGACCCACCTACCTCCCCTCCCTCCCACCTCATGTGGACTTTATGGCTATCTATACTACATCAATTGCTCTCGGCACCCAGTGCATCTCATGAAAGCATTAAGGGATGCCTTGGGCATCAATATCACACACCAAGGGGTGTTACAAAGGGTGTTTGATGACCTTGGGATGAGAATAGGCTGCATATTCGAACTTGGCCTTCTTCGTGGCAAAGTACTCGAAAGGGCTAATGTGGTTGTTCCCATTATAATAAGAGTCTCCAGGACCACATTTTGCCATGATGACACACACACACACACACACACACACACACACACAAGGTAAAAACAATACCAGCCCTGCTGTTGTGGCTGATACATATCCAGCCAGCTGGATGAGATAAGATCACCGTCTTCTTGTTTAAGGAGAATAAAATGATACAATCTTGATGCCACAGTGAGATATCATCACTTGTTTCAAGAAAACCACTGTAGCTGCATGTTAAAATCCACTGACAGATTGTTTTCTTCATCTTAAAGAGATACAGTCATTGCTGTCTGATTTCACAAAATGATCCTCGAATAAAGCAACAGGTACTTTGCAAGGTACTGAGATTTGTGTCTGCCCACCAGCCCACTTATTTTTCTCAAGTGTTCAGCATTGAAGGCAGGTGCAATGTGCTGCAGCAGAAGCCAAAAAAACAAATAACACCAATGCTGTGTTACAGAACCCCCCCACCCCCCGTTACAGGTACATTTTCACACATTTTTTTTAAAGACTGATAAATTCCTGGATTTGTTTAATATGAACACAACTCAAACATGGACCCACTTTAAGAAGTTTTCTTATGAAGTGAGGAGTGTAGTGGACCAGCAAGCTCCACAGCACAAAGCCATCATCTGATTTGGCTCTGTTTGGACGAAAGTCAAATGGACTCCCAGTATGTCTCTGGCTCCTCACCTCAAACCCAATAACTCTTCCCCTCTGGAGGTCTGGCTACAGCTCTCCCTCCTTACCTGTCAGGATATTTATCATTGCTCCGCTCCAGATGATGTATTCAGCAGCAGCTAAGATTAGTGCACATAGCCAAATGCCAAGGATTGTCTCTGCCGCCTGTTGTGTTTACTTCCTACTCGCATACCCCCCGTGACACGTCCCATCTTTAAAGTGCAGCTTTGACGGCACATTTTGTTCAACATGACAACGACGGTTCCCCGCCCCGAGGCGAGCTAAAAGAGGCCTGTACATGGATCATGCTGTGCATGGGGCACCGCTGTTTGTGCACACTTGTTTGTGTTTGTGCCTGCGTATATGAATTCATGATTATATAGCTTAAGGTTCCCTTTGCTGAGCTGTTGTTTTTCCTGCTCATTCAAGTGTTCTAGCCATATGAGGGAGGAGGGTGTTGCTTTATTTGACTTCCTCCAAGGTCTTGAACATGTGAATAGTTTATACTTGTCTTAACATATGACAGATGAAATCAATGCAAAATGAGAGGCCTGGCCCTGTATATTTTAAATCTTTCTCCCTGATACAGACCATATAGCACCCAGTCAACGTGTTTTCCAGCATTTCCTGCTTATTATGGAGTTGAAACAAGATTCACCAACATTTCTCCTCCTAAATGCACCCAGGGCTCCGAATCCATTAGTGGTTATCACCTCAATCGCACCAGGAAAAGGGAGGCAATCTTCTGAGCACCAAGGAGTGTGCTGGGGGGGGTACGGTGTGGTAAGAGGACGGGGGTTGCTGGGGGGGACGAGTTTCCCCCTCGCAGGGTTAAGAGAGGCAAGACATGCTACACAGAGAAAATCACTCAGCCTTATTGTGCGGACTAAATCAGAAACCATTGCCTCCCCATCCATCTCTCTCCGCTGGCACTATAGGTGGAGATACTCCAGAGTGTGATTGTGTGCCGACGTGCGTGCCTTTGTGTGTGTTGTTTTGTGTTGTGTGGAAGTGGAATGAAAGAAAGGGTGGGAAGGGGTGTGATGAAGAGTCTTAAAAGCCTTAAGCTTTGCTTCCTGTCTCCTGAAATCCACAGCTCCCATGAATCACCATCGCTGCTGTTTTTAGCCCGATTACTTTTCTTTCAGTTCTACACAACTTATTTAATTTCTACAGGAGTCTTCGGTAGGCATGACTAAGCTACAGTTTCTGCTGGTGGTCACAGGAAAAATAACAAACAACTAGGAATTTTGACAATTAGCATCTTGTTGTTTCAATTTGACAATATTTGCCAGAGGATAAAGCTCCTATTAACTTCAGAGTCATGAACAGTGGGATTACTTTTCATTTCTTTCTCAGTAATTCTATTTGCAGTGTTGAAATCACAACACGCTCCCACTGTTTTTGTTCTGACAGATCAAGGGATGTTGCTTTTAAAATATGCTACGTGCAGGAAAGTGAACACAACAGCATTTTTATCTTTCCCCTGTTAATTTCAGGATCCAGTACAAGATTCTAACCATCACTTACAGAGCCCTCCATGGTCAAGCACCTGCATACTTGACGGATCTGGTGTCCTTTCACTGTCCTGTCAGGTCACTGCGGTCTGCTGAAGGCCACCTACTTACTGTGCCTCACACAAGATTAAAGACGAAAGGTGATAGAGCCTTTAAGGCTGTTGCACCGAAATGGTGGAATGCACTACCTCATGAGCTGAGAGCGGCCTCTTCCGTGGACATTTTTAAAAAGCAGTT